GGTACAGTTGAAGCAATGTCAGGAAGTAATCATTTTCCTGCTTCAAGCGATTGAATCGGGGGTAGCGGATGACAGCTTGTTTTCCTTTCTTTCTTTCTTTTATGTACCCTAGTCCATTATTCAGTTCATAGTGCAATAGCTGTGCACCTTTTTTGGAAGAAGTTGGAGGTCTAGAGGCTGGATAGAGAGAGTAATATGAGCAGAACTCTGCCAAACATTGTTCATCAAATGGTTGTCCAATTGGTCGAGCGTAATATTTGTCAATGATGGAGGACATCCATATATTTTCACTGTTTCCTTTTCGTGATTTCAGTATGTTCAAAGGAAGACTCATCTTAATTGCATTGCTTCCTGTGGGAATGAATACAACTTCTCTTGAGCATTCTTTCAAATGCATGCTGCAAACTCTGAAAACAGCTTCCTGTGCAGACACTTCTCTGTTTTGGACGTAAACCTGAGCAATGTGTTTCATTGCAGTAGCCGCATCCTTGTTGCCCTCTCGTGCTTCTTTTTGTGCATTTCCTATAAGTTCGCCGACTTCGGCTTCTGCTTTGCTGATATATGATAGTATATAAGCTACACATGAGTAAGGGTCCATAACATATTGAATGTCCATGTTTGCATTCCATGCACGCAGTAAAGTTGGATTGTAATTGTTAACCCAACCATCTTCTACTTTTCTTTTGTAATATATCGTGTTTTTCTTCGTATTTGCAGACAGACTTTCCTTGAATTTGGCGTAAGTAATATTACAAGCAAGTAGAATGTCATCAAATGTTAAGTTAGATTCTGTTGAGTTGATTATTCTCCATGTATCTTTAACAATTTGTTTTGGAGATCTCTCGGCACCAGATTTACATAGGTGTTCAATTTCCTGAAGTGTTGGCATGTTAGTGGTTTGATTTTTTTCTCTCTCCTTGTTTTCATTGTCTTCCTCTGTGACTTTTACAAGAAACGTTTTGCGTATTGGAGGCCTTGGGAAATTAAATCGACATGTCGTTGAGTTCTTCTTGCATGACTTTGTGTGTGTCTTACTGTGAACCTGTACAGCATTAACAATATCATGGAGTTCAGGATCGCTTTTCTCATTTGGCATCGAACATGATACATATTTATCAACAAAAGTACAGATTTCTTTCTCTGTGTTTTCGTTTAATTTAGGTGCATTCCTGACCCATAATAAACAATGGATATGTGGAGAGCCGCGCTGCTGAAACTCGGTTCGGTAGAAGAAATCCACTACGTCTCCGACTGGTTGTGAAGGGGACATAATTAAGTCTGTGAAAAGTCTTTGCACACGGTTATTAAATAATCGGGCACACATCACAGGGTTTTCCCTTATAAGGTGGCATTTTTCTGTCCATTCTATATCTCCAGGTGATCTTGGGTCTTCCGGGTCTTTTAATGCATTGATTGTTTCATCCCATCTAGTTTCACCAGCGGAAAACGTTATAAACCATGTCGGGATTCCTAACTGCCGGATCATGGCGTATAGATCTTTCATTGTTCTTTGCCAATATGGAGGCGATCCGCGTACTGGTTGTAAGAAACGAAAACCAGCATCTGATTTAAGAATTTTCTGTAAATCATTAGCATTAGTAAGCATTGACGCCGTTACTTTACCTCCATCATTTGTATTTCCTTTCCCTTTCCGTAAGGCTATAGATATGTTTGATCGAATGTTTGACATTTCAATCATGAACTGAGCAAAGAAGATAAACTGATTATCTCTTGCGAATCTTTTGTCGGCGCAAAATAAGCGGACATTGAAGTATTTTGTAGGGGACAGTTTTATAGGTCGATCTTCAAAGTATCCGAATTTGCCATCTGGATAAAGGTTTGGAAAAGCCATTGCATCCGCCCCTTTTTCCTGGAAGATACTTTGCGGTGTTTGATTTTCACCGGGCGCAATGCAAAAAACTTTGTTTTCTGTGTCTTGATACTCTTGTCCTATATCAACAGGCTGAGAACACGTTTCTACTGGTTGTGTGTGCATTGTCAAATTCTCCTGTTCTGAACTTTCATTTTCTTCATCCGAAGAATTTTCTTGTTCGTCTAGTTTAACTAAATCTGAATCGGTTTCTGGGTCAAACCAACTGTCACTGAGTGCTATATTTGAATACCATGGGTTATTTCTTTTCAGGAACTCTATTGCTTCTTTTACCTTTTCTGGTCTAACCCATTCATACTGGTAATGTCCTTTGTATGACAGCTTCCTTTTAAGTTTAACTTTGACCATCTGAGCCTCATTAATAGTTCTAGGCAGGGAAGTCGTGATACTGCTGATGTTTGACGGGACGTTTACAACTTGTCCTTTGACACCTTTTTGTCCACCCTTTGGAAGTGAGAGGAGTTTCATGAAAGGAATTCGAAGAGCAACAAGTTGTCTTTCGAGGTGGTTTAACATTTTTAGCTCGTCAGGCACGATAGTGAGCTGTAATCCATTTTCGAGAGCTTGCGGTGGCATGTTACCTGCACACAAATGTCTGTCACATGTTTGGCAGATCCATTCCTTCGACTCGAAAGTATACTTCCCACTTAGACATCTTGTAGCAGTACTTGAGTACTTGCCCTTTAAATACTTGGAGCGGTTGCAGATCTTTACTTGAGATTTGTAAAGTGTCCTTGCACACACGGTACACAGATATGATGGAATTTTCTTGATGTTCTTAATGAATGTTTGCAATGCAACATGAAGATTCTTGCGTCTTCGATTCACGGCTTCTTTTTTCTTTATTGGAATTGCGGGATTCTTGTGATATTGTTGGAACAGGAGCATTTTCAGTTTATGGCGAAATAAAGAATTGGATGCATACCGTTTTATTGATGACGCTTTTACATTTTGCCTAAAGATGGTATTAGATCTGTACTTCTTGAGTGAGTAGTAAAGAACACATTTCTTGAAGTTCAAATTTTCGCTGTATTTTTTCTTAGATGCCGATTTAACATGCTGCCGAAATTCTTCATTTTCTTTGTATTTCTGTTTAGAAGCTGCTTTTGTACGCTCTTGAAAAATTAGGTTCTCTTTGTATTTCTGCTTCGAAGCTGCCTTTAGCCGTTGTTGAAACTTAATGTTCTCTTTGTATTTCTGCTTCGAAGCTGCCTTTAACCGCTGTTGAAACTTAATGTTCTTTTTGTATTTCTGCTTCGAAGCTGCTTTTCTTCGCTGTTGAAACTGTTTGTCCTCTTTATATTTCTCTTTAAAGGCTGCATTTTTACGCTGTTGAAACATTTTATCTTCTTTGTATTTCTTCCTAAATCTTTCTTTTTTACGCCGTTGCAGTCCTTGGTCTGAAGAATATTTCATTTTTTTCTTCTTCCTATTCTCTTCCTTGTTTTTAGCATACATTTCTTTTTTCTTGAGGGCCGTTGGATTTTCTTTTTGAACACTAAGAACAACATCATAGTGATTCAAATTTCGATGGTAAAGATATATTCCATCTGTTACATCGGATTGTGAAGGACTGTGTTTCATCCATTTCCAATGCGGTCCATATTTGGAATACACATATATATCAACTTTAAGCATATCAGCAGCAGTGAATATTTCTGTTTCAGTCGCCCATATTCTTTCGCATCGCATTGATGTATTTGATAAATATGCTTCTACATTTCCACAGTACTTGTTCGGAAGAGCGCTGCTTAATTCATCCTGATGCACAAGGAGATGATTGCAAATATGTGATCTAACTTCAGAATGGTATTCTTCTGAACCTGTTATTATATATGACAAGGCACTAAAAAAACAGTTTCCATCAGGTTTTGTTTCGTGTAGCAATGCTGGATATCCTAAGTCTGTACATGGTTTCTCATTTTCAAACGAACAGTTTATGTTGTTTAGTTTAAACTTTTGTGCAGTTTCTAATCTCCAAGGTTCACTGACTGGATTATATATCAAGTAGGGTCTTATTTCATCTCGCTTTAAACGTTTTCTTCTTTTTTCTTTATTTCTTTTTTCCCGACTTGAAAGGGATCGTTTTCGCTTGACCATAACTGTACTTTCATTTCCTGTGATTAGCTTGATTTAGGCCTGAAAAGATAGTTTTATTGTATTTTCACAGTCTATGATAGGAGGTATATTAGTACATACTTTTATACCTCCTTGGGAGCTCTTTATAAATTTCCTAAAATTTGGAATGTAGAGAATTAATTCAGAATATTTTTTTAATTTGTAAAAAAGAATTGCATGATTTGAATTCATAGAGAGCTCCTGTTAATTTAAGTACAGGTTCACGTAAGAATCATGCAATAGGTGACAAGTCCATGTTTTCAGAATTATTTCAAATTTTGCATATATGTTAGGAGTAAAGCCAATATCGGAATTACAAACCTATTTTAAGATTTCCATGGTAACTGTTGCCATGGCAACGACATGCAACTTTCTGGGCCAAATGTACTATTTTTCAGAGAAAAACACTGAAATTTTCCACTTTTGAAACTCTCTTTTTAAAAAGATTTTTGGTTAATTTCTCAGTAACTTTTTTTCTATTAATTAACCAACTTATTATCTTTTCAAAACCATTAATTTTTTGTTTGTCAAGGTTTCCTGTTAATTTTGCCATGAACTCAAGATACCAACATAAGAAAAATATTGCAAGTTTTGCAATTTTATCAAAATATCACAAAAGTATGCATAAAAATGACAAACTTCCCAACTTTATTTTAATTCAAGCTTTATATGAAATAAAAGACAAACAATAGAGACACACATGCCATGAATCTTAAACTTGACAAATTATGGTTACCATAGCAACGGACAATTTAATTTTGCCACATTTCTAAATACTTCAAAAAGTGTTCATGCTTTCCTTTGCTAATTAGCATGAATTACACAATTTGACTTAAATAATTACTAATATTATGTCATATCTCTTTCATTCATATTTCAGTTGGAAACAAGGAAATATTTTCATGCCTTTTTATTGGAGTTTTTATACTCCAAGCAGATCCTTTTTTGGTGCAAAAAGGTCACATAAAAATTGTATTAGTTTGCATGATTTGTTCAATGGTGAATATTATTCAAACTATTTTACGTAAAATATTATCACACTCATTGTCATCTGATAAAATATGATAAAGGTTAAAGAGATTGATCAAAGATTAACAATTTTAGTGCAACAAGAGGCCCAGGGGCCACATCACTCACCTGAGCTCTGGCTATGTAAAACTAAAAACAAAAATCAGTTCAGTATTGAAAAAGTTTAAAGTGGGTTCAAGTGGGATCATGATTTGAACAAACTTGAATCTACACCACATAAGGATGCTTCCATATAGCTATGACCAATTATGTTAGTAGTTCTTGAGAACAAGATTTAAAAGATTTTCCCCATGTATTCCCAAGTTAAACATTGAACCCTGACCCCCCATCAAGGCCCCATCCTACCCCTGGGGTCATGATTTGAACAAACTGAATTTGCACTATCTGAGGATGCTTCCACATGAATTTCATCTTTCCTGGACCAGTGTTCCTTGAAAAGAAGATTTTTAAAACATGTCATTACTTTTTCATTAATTCATAAGAATTTCCCCTTGGAAGAGGGCATGGCCCTTCATTTGATGAAACTTGAATCCCTTTACCTAGGGATACTTTGTGGCAAGTTTAGTTGATATTGGCCCAGTGGTTCTTGAGAAAAAAATGAAAATGTGACAACTTTACATCGCCGACGACAGACAGCGGACTATTTTTGTTCAGAATAGCTCACTTGAGCCTTTGGCTCAGTTGAGCTAAAAAAAGGTCAGCTTAATTGTATTTCAGCTCAGCAAGATGCACAGACCCCTTCTGCTCCCTGTGATTTTGAGTCATACTAAACGAGGCTTATAGGTACTTGGAAATAAGATCTGCACCAAAAACATTCACCTGTTCTCTCATCCAGAAAATGTCAGATCTAGCAACTGAGACTGAAGCAAGCCTGGTAATATGCATCCTTAGATGTATATCCCATGCATGTTTGATCAATATAGGGCTTATACACTGTAGGTACTCAGAAATAAGATATGCACAAAAAACTTTCACCTGTTCACTCATAACACATAATCTGAATTTTCTCTGTGACTATAATTGAATTATATTTTAAAAAATAGATACTGGTCAATCTAATAAACATAAACAGCAACTGCTGCCTTAATTATAAGATCACTGTTACATCTAGAAAAAAATTAAATGCTTTAGAACATTTGTAGCACATAACAAGCATATTTATAATTATGAACATGAATGAAAACAAAAGCTAAACATGCTAAAGGGATTGTTTTCACTTGTCATAAGATAAAAGAAAAAATACATAGATACAATACTAGTATTATCCAAGTTTTTGTCTGCACACATCTTTTTAAATATAATAATATCCAACAGAACAGGAATCTGGATAGCTGGATTGTGTGAGTGGCAAAATGTCACTTTCCTTATAAATTTACGAGGCCAAATTAATATTTTCAATCAGTGCATCCTCCTCAATGGCTTCCAAAGCTGCCAGTAAATCTTTGTCATCAAAGTCCTCTGTCACAGGTTTATTGTCATATCCCTTACTTGCCATTCTGGAGAAGAAAGAAGTTATTTGAGCTGTGCTCAACCATTCACTGACACTAAATAATTTGCTTCCATCCTCATCAGTAACAACCCTCATTTCTTCAGCAACTTCTGATGGAACTGCTTTCCTCCCTTTTTTGCCATTTTCATATTTTTTCATCAAGTAGTCCTTCACTTTCTCTGGAAAACGTGAAATTTTCCTTGGTTTTCTGAGACCCCATCCCATAGGTTCAGCTTTAAGCTCCTTTTCCACACTTCCATTAGCTGACAAAACATTTTTGCAAGTGATGACTACTTCACTGCATAGGTTGGCCCACTGAAGCTTTATTTGGTCATAAGTAGACTTTTTGTCTAGTTTCATTTGGTGTTTACCACACAACAAATGAGTTTCCAACCCTCTGTATGTTGAATACTTCTTGGTACAGCCAACTTCTGGGCAATAAAACAATGCCACTGCAGCATCTTCAGCAGTTTCTCTCTCAGCGTTATTTCCAGAAATTTCTAAACCATCAGAATTTTCCTTTGATTTAGTTCTTATTTCTCCCTTCTGCATAGCAGGGGTAATAAAGGGCTCCAATATCAAGCATCCAGACGTGTGTTCCTCATGTTTAGAACTGGTAAACTTCCTGATATCCAAGTTTGACATAAGTAAGCCTCTCCCAATATTATAAGCTTTACGCACAATCATACCATCCTCTTGATAAGTGATACTGCTGTAGTTGTTTACGTTTTTCATCTTGTGGGTACTGAACAACTGTTTTGTTGTATCTATAGCTACATTTGCCACTTGACATCCTCTGACACCTGCGAGTAAAAAAAGAGAACTTTCACCAACTGCATGAGACTTGGAATTTCATTGGTTTTCTAACAAATTGAAAACTGACTTGCAATAATTTAAGAAATATACAAAAAGTTTTTAAAATTTCAATGAGAGCCATTGAGAGGTAAATTGGGTCGGTCACGTGATCAAACCCTCTGAATACTGATAGGCCTTCTCAGAAGATTTGATCACGTACCGACCCACTTTATTTCCCTTTGAAATTTTTAAACTTGTTCTTTATTTCTAACAAGTATATATACATTTGAGACAGACAATTGAATATTTTCAAATACAAATCATTGTACTAGCTGTTCGTCACAGATTTTGATAAATTACGCAAGGTGCAAATCAGCTTGAAAGGCGGTTACGTTGAATTCATCAAGGAAAGGAATCTATTTAGAGGGGACATATTTTTTGAAAGGTTCCTTGTAATCAGTAACAGTGAATGGATTGTTGTCTGGGAATATTTGTTTTCCTGAAAATTAATAATCAAAGCTGAAAAAGGCACAGAAACAAATTAAGTTTGAAGATTGATGATAAAAAGTTTGAGGAATTTCGACTGTTGGGAAAAATGGGAAAAGAATGGATTGATCGAATGGATGGAGACACATGTCCAAGCCAGTTAACTTGAAATCAAGTGTAAAGTTTGATCAAAACCATTAAATCTGCGATTGCAGTTAGTCATATTTATTATATAGACAAAGAGACACTAGCGACAGCTTACATTTTTATGACAACGCCGAAGGTTTTGGGGTTTTGACCTTGATCCTTGATCTAGAAACTTTGTTTAAGGTCAGTGCACATTCATTGACCAGTAGCAGTCTGTCAGTGAATTATGAGCCACATTGGACCAAGAGGATAGAAGATATGCTCCAAACAAGGATTTTCCATGTAATTCTGCTAATTAGACAATTAATCTATGTTCAGTATTAAAATCTTTGTACCTGAGCCAGCATCAAGTGCATGTTTCATGTCTGATGCAGTTAAGATGTCATGCCCACTTGCTGCGTAGCTCTTCATTTTCATTCTCATGTGTGCTATTTTGGAATCACAGTATGATTTCCCTGCCTGTGGCTCAGAGAAGCAGTATTCTGCTATGGAAATACCTAAAACATAAATATATGCACATAAATTAAATGAGCCCAAATCCTTGTTTAAAAAAATCAAACCAGTGCAATTATGCAAACAGGTAAAATATATATGTGTAAGGTTTAAGAAAATGTATAACTATACTACTCATTAAATTCCACTTGACACTAAAAGAATTTGTTAGATATGACTTAAAAATCCCAATCATGACTTTTAAATTGGAATATTTAAACGTACATGTATATAAAGGCACAATTATGTAAAATGTTCATGATATGGAACTTAAATAGGAGTTATATCTAGCATTGTTATACCTTTAAAAATTTGTTCCTATATAAATCAATATAAAAAAGTTTCTAATGTTTTGCTGAGCAGGCATAAATAAATCAATGTTTGACTAGTTGAAGAAATGTTGGACTGCTTATGCCACAGAACTGTCAAAGCATAATCTCATTTTCATTTGTTGATGTTAACACTGTAACATCAAGGAAGACAGTACAAAATACATGTGTCAAAAAAAGAATTGAAATGAAAGGTAAAACAAAACATTTATTGATTACATACATGTGATCATTTCTAGACCAAAATACTACCACAGCAGTCTTCAAAATACTGGAATTTGGTGAAAAATACTGCACATTGCAAATCAACACATGAGGCCCAGGGGCCACAGCGCTCACCTGTGCACATCCGGCTTGAATTATTTACCCCCCCCCCACTCCAGGATTTGAACAAACTAGGATCTACACTAACTGAGGATGATTCCATATAAATATCACTAATCATAGCTTTGAAGTATTTGAAAAGAAGATTTTAAAAGGTTTCCCAATATATCCCTATGTAAAACTTGGGTCAGCCATTTTGGCCCCACCCTAGCCCCGGGTGTCATGATTTGATCAAACTTGAATCTACACTACCTGAGGATGATTCCACATGGGTTTCATCTCTCCTGGCCCAGTGGTTCTGGAGAAGAAGATTTTTAAAGATTTTTCCTATTTATTCCTATGTAAAACTTGGGTCGACCATTTTGGCCCCACCCTTGTCCCGGGTGTCATGATTTGAACAAACTTGAATCTACACTACCTGAGGATGATTCTACATTGTGTTGTTACAATAGTCGCCGACTATCGAAAAATCGTCGTTTGAAGGCCCAGATCGGCGACAATCGATTGTAAATATTATCATCGATAGATTGCTATATTTTTCAAGCCGTATTTTTCTCGCCGATCAGGTTTAACTTTTATATTCACCAAAGGGACGTCACTCTTATCGGCGGTAAACAAAATGGCGAACGTGCGTGGTGAAGAGGTTGACGCCGAATTATATCTATATCCTGGTGCAACACGATCTAAAGTTTGGAGTTTTTTGGCTTTCGGAAAAAGGGCGATGGGCCTCCATGCAAAAATAATTTACAGATGGACTCGGTTATTTGTAAATTGTGTAAAAAGTCGTATGCCAATAAAGATAAGTTGAAGTTCGCGGTCAAATGTCATGGAATTCTACTCGTGCTGAATGAATAAATTTAACCTTTTTTAATAGTTCAAATTATTGATTATGTAATCGATTGTGTTCTTCCGATTCAATCTGATAATCGATAGTAAAATTTGTCCGATTTTACAACACTAATTCTACATGAGTTTCATCTTTCCTGGCCAATTGGTTCTGGAGAAGAAGATTTTCAAAGATTTTTCTTATATATTCCTATGTAAAACTTGGGTCGGCCATTTTGGCCCCATCATTGCCCGGGGGTTCATGATTTGAACAAACTTGAATCTACACTACCTGAGGATGATCCTACATGAGATTCATTTTTCCTGGCCAAGTGGTTCTGGAAAAGAAGATTTTTAAAGATTTTTCTTATATATTCCTATGTAAAACTTGGGTCGGCCATTTTGGCCCCATCATTGCCCCGGGGGTCATGATTGGAACAAACTTGAATCTACACTAACTGAGGATGCTTCCACATGAGTTTCATCTTTCCTGGCCCAGCGGTTCTGGAGAAGAAGATTTTTTAAAAATGCCTAAATAAATTTTTAACAAATTCATGATTATCTCCCCTTGGAAAAGGGTGTGGCCCTTCATTTGTAATAACTTGAATCCCCTTCACTCAAGGATACTTTGTGCCAAGTTTGGTTGAAATTGGCCCAGCGGTTCTTGAGAAGAAGATGAAAATGTGAAAAGTTTACAGACAGATGGACGCCGAACAAAATGTGATCAGAAAAGCTCACTTGAGCTTTCAGCTCAGGTGAGCTAAAACTGTACAAAATATTGACCAAAAAATCCATGTAAGGTGTTTAAATTTCAGATCATATATGTGATTATGTTCTCGGCCAAATTGTGTTTTGTCGACCCTCGAGCCAAATTAACAACCTCAGGCAGAAGTGTAGTTCTTGGGTCAAAAAAAAAATGCATTTTTCCCTCGAACTCGGTCAATAAATTGTATACTGCTTGATGTTTTCATTTACGATCTGTCTAGTTTGAAGTTTTCATACCTGTTCTTTGGCTTATTAGTGGCAAGGAAAACCATAGCTGACCACAGTGATAACAACCTGCATTATCCGATCGAAGCATAACTTCTGTGATATTAGGCATCTGTTCCTTTATCGTCTGCAGTGTATTCTCTAGTAGAGATGAAACAGAAAACCAGTCTTGCTTTGCTGAATCAATAACATGACAGTATGTTTTGTGCTGAAAGAAAAAAAAATAATGTATAAAGTTTATTGGCAAATGGGTTATAGATATGTATATACAATATAAAGAAGTTATGGCACAAATTTATCACAAATAGCAAGGCAAATAATGGAGATAAAATTTCTAAACTGAGATTAATAAACTCCCTGGTAAGAGTTTTAACTGAAACTGGGATAAAATGTCAATCAATCCTTTTAAAAAATTAACTAAAATTGCGGAGTTAAAAAGCCATTTTTGTCAACATTGTGAAATCATTTGAGTTGAAGCAAAATTTTAAATGAGTGAACAGAGAGTGTGAACCATAATAATTTTAAAAGGTGTGCAACTTACACACAGATTATCTTCATCTTTAAAAATGCAAACCGTGACATGCCAGTTTTTGCCTCTTTGCCCAAACCAGTCGGACTGTTTTTCCCTGTGGTAAATAGGCAGGAACTTCATCGCCCAGTCCATTATGACAAGAGCTTGGTAGTTTTTCATGTTCTCGAGGGCATCCAGTCTAAACTGATCTTGATTGACAGTTCTAACTATGTGTGCTTTCCAACTGCATATTTTAAACAATGCATCCCTCAATGTCTTTTGGTACTCATGCATTTACAGCTTCTTGGTTCATATGGAGAGCATCTATTGAAGAATTTAGCTGCGATTCCACTTCTTTGATAAGTTCACATCTGTCACATTTCAGTGTATGGTTGTGAAGACAAGTATTTTGGAAATCTTTACTTGATGGATCACTCAGGCTCCAGTCAATACAGTGGTCAGCACAGATACTTGACTGCTCCACGTGTAACTTATAATCTGTTTTCATGTATATTCTGCTGGCAGTGAGTTTGGTGGAGATTTCTGAATGAACATCTATTGACATCAAGCCAAGGTCTTTTAATTTGTCAATCAGTCTGTGTAGCTCTGTATAGCCTTCCACGCCTTCAGTTGTGATGTTGTCCAATCCTCTCAAATTCTTTCTTTTGGATGCTGCACAAGCACGCAGAATATGAAAAAGGGATGTTCTTCCAAGTGGTTGGAAATCTGTCTCCTTACAATATGCTACATACATATCAACTAAATGAGAGTGACACAATGTTCGCACCACATCTGGAATAGTAATATTCTCTCCAGAGTCAAGTTTCATTTCTCTTGTTCCATATGAAACTATTTGCATAAAAGAAGGATCAAAGAAAAAGTTGAGTGCATGTTGCATCTTTTCTGAATCCATTCTTTGTCTTGTGAATTTGACTTTCTCCTCCACTGTTGTTCTGGTATGTGTATCTCCAAGCAATCTTGCCTGATCAATTTTGTATACTGTCAAACCTGGAAGGCGCTGTAACAACTCATCCTTTGTCATTGTTTTTGCCACAATTGATAAAAGTTGTACCTTAAGGTTGTTGTCAGATGTTTCTTTATATAGTTTTAAAACTTTTTCCATCATATCAGGATCAGATTTTGGTCTCTCGGGTTGTGGTAAAATAAGCAACTTTAATTCTTTTGACTGTCCAGGAGCAAAAAGATTCAAAAGTGCATCTGTAGATTCCTCTGCTTTCCTTTTGTAATATCTTAAAGTGCTTGGCTTTGCTTTGGATATTTTTGTGTGCAGCTGTCCTCTTAAAGGGCTGAATTGGCCACTAGATATAAGGCTAACAACATCATTGGCGTGCTGTAAAGTACCTTTCATTTCTTCAGAACTCCAGTTTGACGCCTGAGATAAGTTCTGTGAACTTTGTGTTCCGTCAGATAGCTGTTTGGAAAAAATGATAAAAATTAAGAATCTCTTACTAATATGTAACACTTTTAACATGACAGAATACAAAATATGCTTCCAAATCAATTTGAGATTGTTTGCTTGCCAAATTCAACAAAAGGACCATTGGCCACATTGCTCACCTCAGTAACTTTATTTCTTACAAAATTTCCCCCTTTGTGACATCTATTGTGGCCCAATCCTTTCCCTGAAGGCCATGGTTTGATCAATTTAGAGTCTACTCTACCCAAGGATGCTTCCATTTTAGTTTCAGCTTTTGTGATGCAGTGGTTCTTGAGAATTTCCCTATATACATGTATTCGTATTTCATTGTAAAACTGGATTCCCTACTGTGGCCCCGCCCTACCCCGGGGAGTAATGACTTGATCAAATAATCTACAATACCAGTGGTTATTGACAAGAAGTTGAAAATGTGAAAAATTTACAGACGGAGGAATGACAGACATTGGGTGATCATAAAAGCTGACCTGAGCTTGAATTGTATACAGATGTATACAAAAATGTGATCAGAATAGCTCAATTGAGCCTTCATTAGCTACCAATTGGGAAGTTATAAATAATTCAAATGACTTGATTGAAACAGATCACTTACAGAATCAAGCTGAAGGTGCTCCTCATCCTTATCCTTATCCTTATCCTCTTCTTGTTCCATCTTCTACAAAAATCCAAATTTAAAAAAGTTTAAATCAGGCAATATTAAAATTTTAACATTCAACCTTTTTAAGGAAAAAAAAACTAGAGATATGTCCATAGGACATGAGCATCCAGCTAAATGTATATTTATTTAGTGATGAAACATGAAAATTCTTTATGTCTTCATGCTTTTAAAGAAATTTTTGATTAAATATCTGTCTAATCTTCCCATCTGAAGTTTATTTATAATTGACCTAGAATACTCCTAACACAAACACCTGCTGCTCTCATTAGCTGCAGCTAGTGTGCTTGAACTATTTATTTTTAGAAACCAGATTTGCTGTGGGAATCTTTATACTAATTACTCCATAACACTGACCACTGTGGCTAGTGTGCTTAAATTCATTATAGAATCCAAGTTTGCAGTGCTGCTGGTCTCAATAATATGTACAGAAACCCATTAGTGCCAATCTATATATGTATATATAAAGGAAAAGCGATATACAGCCAAACTCGGTTAGTATGACCACTGATATTGCGAAATCATCTTGGATCCCCAGCTATATAAATTTAATTAATTTCTTATGCGGCTATAATGAATTACAGATATAGCGAAGTGATTTCATAGGTCCCAGTGACTTTGTTGTAACCAAGTTTTACTGTACACTTTATTTTTTAACAGAACATGGAGACATAAAATATTCTTTGTACTGGGGTGAACCCCACCCCTGGAAAACATTTCTGGATCCGCGCCCGATATGCCCCAGCGATATTCATGGCGGGCCATAAAAATATCTTTAAAAGTCCAAAAAATAGTCTCTGCTAGTATTTACAGCCTCCTTAATAAAACCTTAAATAACAGTACAAATGTTTATCAAACTGTGTTTCTTTTAATATGAGAAATTTTGATGCACAGGTTTCAACTCCCAACCATATACATAATCTAGGCTTCATAAAATTCAAATTCTAGTTCTCAGGCCCATGCGCATCCATTTCAGGTAGCCTCATCGTTAACTTTATTGCATTTTTGATAAAATAAAAAGTTGGCAGTGCGAGGACCAATCTGGAAAAAAATTTTCTGTCTTTATTTCTTTGTAGTTTAGTATTCCAATGTCACTTCCGGTAGCCATTTTCAAACAGATTTTGGCTACTTCGTTTAAAAATACATTCGAAGACATTGCCTACGATGTTCACAGGCTGATAAGCAATGGATAATGCAGAACTTTTAATCAGACATGGAAAATATACATGTGAATAAAAAAAGATATATCTTTACGATAAAGAAAATTCCAAAATAATAATAAAAGAAAAACCTCCCTCATCTACTTTATTGCCAATAAAATGATAAATAAATTGCCTCCCTCCTGCATTTGTTTTGGAGAAAATTGGCCTGAGAACCACAGAATTAAATTTAGATAGCCTTAGTTAAGACTGCTTGAATTACCTCTTTGACTTGCGCAGTCTCTTGTTCTTTAAACTTCATCTTCATCTCCTGATAGCATGGTTTACATAATCCTACAAATAAGAAATTAATAATATAATGGAATTTTGAATAGGTTTACTTGCTGCTTAGTGCTTACACACATATGTAATTATGCATATTTGCATATGTAAAAATTTACATATTTTTACATTAATTTTTTTTAAATTTTCTATGAACATGTATCTTTCTTATCATGGTATTGATCATGTTTCAGGGTTCGACACTAACATTTTTAGGCTTTGGTCCGGCCGGACTAGTGCTTCTTTACTTTTACTAGTCCGCGGGCAATTTTATTAGTCCGTCAAAAATAAAAATAATTAAATAGAATTAATGTTGCAATGTACTTTTATAATTTTTCCAAATAAACAAAGCATTTACATGAAATGTTTATACCAAGAATTCGTTGAAACCATGCAATCAGGAACTACGATCGTATTCCCGATCTCATTCGTTTTTCTCTATACATGATTACATCATCTAAACATCCGACATCTTTCTTTATGTGTAATACTAAATCATGATCGCTAAAATGTTTAATTTCATTCCAACGAGTCCTTAAATTAAGCGCCGAATTGACTCAGAATTACCAAACTTCCCGCCAAGAAGCTACAAAGTTAAAAATAATTACGGGGTTTTCCAGTGAAAGTTGTCGAAAATTTGAACATCGGAAAATTCTTTTTTTCCCCCAGAAAACTTTATTAGTCCGTTCAGACTAATTAGCTACAATTTTTATTAGTCCGAATGAAAATGTGTTAGTCTGAGACTAACGGACTAACGTTAATGTCGAACCCTGTGTTTAGATAAATTTCAAGGCTAAAACAGTATAACCCCTCTCCTTTTGATATTGGGGTGATAATAATTCTCCATAGCCTAAAACATGTGTTAAAAAGAGTATTGACCTGTTCCAACTGGGAGTAAACATCCATAACTCTTAAATAGTTCAAATGCATAGAAGGAAGAAAGACCATGCTGAGGCTTTGCCTTTGAATGTTCAGGGTGATCAGGATGCAGACACACTCTTCCGGGTTTCCACTGCAAACTTTTACTGTATCTGAAAGTGTACATACACATGTTCATGTCTTTTGCACAGTAGATCCATCTTTTGAAGAAAGTATGAGACAGAGATGCATGTATTATTAGTTTTTGATTTGATACCTCAAAATTTATCTAATAAACTAAAGTAATTGTTTCCAATACATGCAATATGATACTGTGTTCACCTCACTACCCTATTTTTCTTCCATCCCCTTGTAGAAATAAATATGAATATTGTGAGATATTTGAAATACTTGTTTATATTTCTATTTATTTTATCAAATATCTACCTATGAAAAGGGCAAACAGTCAGACTTTGATAAAGGTCATAATCACAAAATATCCCAGCTCTTCTGGCGATCAGTTCTCCTTCTGTTAGTTTTTCATTTAGTTTACAGAGCTGCAGATGTGATCTCAGGCATCTGTGACAGTCTTCCAGTTTCACTAGGTCTAATTCATGTTCGAATTTTGAGTAAGGTGAGCAGTTTCCACCAAAAAATGACTGGAGGGAGCATACGCTTGATTTGTCCCAAGAGGCAGCCATAATGTATGAAAACAAAGGGAGATGTCACCCAGACTCCACAACTATGACAAACAGGTCTAGATGAACACTAAAATAGAAAGATTTCTTAACAATGAAAAATTCAGAAATGACACACTAAGGCCATAATAAATATATTGCTAGATTCTCATCCGAATTTTTTTAAAAATCGAGGCGGGCGGGCGGCTTTTATTTTATATCTTTTATTTTTTCAATTTTGCAGCATTTTTATTTACCAGGTCAATCGGTGCAATTTTATTTACAATACCCAAAAAAAGTCGTTATAAAGGTTCAATTATATCTCTTACCTCACATCATTACCAATCTTTTTCAACCAATGACCCTTGTTTAAAATATATACACATATATTACAATCTTTTCAGCTGTCAAAATCATGTCGACTTTCGTGGGATTTAAACCGAAAGTAGAATGGTAGATGAATACTGATCCCGATCAGAATTAAGACGAGGAAAAACAGAAATAAAAAAAATCCAGGCGGGGGTATAAAATCGGGGCGGGCGGGGATGAGAATCTAGGAATATTTTTATTATGGCCTAATCATTATTTACAGCAGTAATACAGTATGACAACAGGGAGATTCTTATAGTTATACCTGATATGTGGCCTTGTTAGTCCAAACCCCTCATATCCAGTTGATGAGCCGTGGCAAATTCAGCAATCAACACCAGTAACTGGGACTCAATAGCTATGGCAAACAGATCTACATGTAGACTGAAATAGAAAGAATTTCTCAATAAATTTACAATTAAAAAAAAAATCAGAAATGCATGTAATACAGTTACTATGACAAAAGGGAGATTCTTATAGTTATACCTGATATGTGGCCTTGTTAGTTCAAACCCTTCATATCCAGTTGATGAGCTGCGGCAAATTCAGCAATCAACACATACACATGTATCTAGTAACTCAGTCTCATTAGCTATGGCAAACAGTTCTACATGTAAACTGAAATAGAAAGAATTTCTCAATAAATTTACAATTAAAAAAATCAGAAATATGTGTAATACAGTTACTATGACAACAGGGAGATTCTTATAGTTATACCTGATATGTGGCCTTGTTAGTCCAAACCCTTCATATCCAGTTGATGAGCTGCGGCAAATTCAGCAATCAACACCAGTAACTGGGACTCAATAGCTATGGCAAACAGATCTACATGTAGACTGAAATAGAAAGAATTTCTCAATAAATTTACAATTTAAAAAAATCAGAAATGCATGTAATACAGTTACTATGACAACAGGGAGATTCTTATAGTTATACCTGATATGTGGCCTTGTTAGTCCAAACACTTCATATCCAGTTGATGAGCTGTGGCAAATTCAGCAATCAACACATACAACATATACACTTGTATCCAGTAACTGGGACTCAATAGCTATGGCAAACAGATCTACATGTAGACTGAAATAGAAAGAATTTCTTGATAAATTTACAATAAAGAAAAATATAAGAAATACATGTTATACTGTTACTATGACAACAGGGAGATCCTTATAGTTATACCTGATATGTGGCCTTGTTAGTCCAAACCCCTCATATCCAGTTGATGAGCTGTGGCAAATTCAGCAATCAACACCAGTAACTGGGACTCAATAGCTATGGAAAACAGATCTACATGTAGACTGAAATAGAAAGAATTTCTCAATAAATTTACAATTAAAAAAAAAAATCAGAAATGCATGTAATACAGTTACTATGACAAAAGGGAGATTCTTATAGTTATACCTGATATGTGGCCTTGTTAGTTCAAACCCTTCATATCCAGTTGATGAGCTGCGGCAAATTCAGCAATCAACACATACACATGTATCTAGTAACTCATACTCATTAGCTATGGCAAACAGATCTACATGTAGACTGAAATAGAAAGAATTTCTCAATAAATTTACAATAAAAAATAAGAAATATGTGTAATACAGTTACTATGACAACAGGGAGATTCTTATAGTTATACCTGATATGTGGCCTTGTTAGTCCAAACACTTCATATCCAGTTGATGAGCTGTGGCAAATTCAGCAATCAACACCAGTAACTGGGACTCAATAGCTATGGCAAACAGATCTACATGTAGACTGAAATAGAAAGAATTTCTCAATAAATTTACAATTAAAAAAAATCAGAAATGCATGTAATACAGTTACTATGACAACAGGGAGATTCTTATAGTTATACCTGATATGTGGCCTTGTCAGTCCAAACACTTCATATCCAGTTGATGAGCTGTGGCAAATTCAGCAATCAACACATACAACATATACACATGTATCCAGTAACTGGGACTCAATAGCTATGGCAAACAGATCTACATGTAGACTGAAATAGAAAGAATTTCTTGATAAATTTACAATAAAGAAAAATATAAGAAATACATGTTATACTGTTACTATGACAACAGGGAGATCCTTATAGTTATACCTGATATGTGGCCTTGTTAGTCCAAACCCCTCATATCCAGTTGATGAGCTGTGGCAAATTCAGCAATCAACACCAGTAACTGGGACTCAATAGCTATGGAAAACAGATCTACATGTAGACTGAAATAGAAAGAATTTCTCAATAAATTTACAATTAACAGAAATGCATGTAATACAGTTACTATGACAACAGGGAGATCCTTATAGTTATACCTGATATGTGGCCTTGTTAGTCCAAACCCTTCATATCCAGTTGATGAGCTGCGGCAAATTCAGCAATCAACACATACACATGTATCTAGTAACTCAGTCTCCATTAGCTATGGCAAACAGATCTACATGTAGACTGATATAGAAAGAATTTCTCAATAAATTTACAATAAAAAATAAGAAATATGTGTAATACAGTTACTATGACAACAGGGAGATTCTTATAGTTATACCTGATATGTGGCCTTGTTAGTCCAAACACTTCATATCCAGTTGATGAGCTGTGGCAAATTCAGCAATCAACACCAGTAACTGGGACTCAATAGCTATGGCAAACAGATCTACATGTAGACTGAAATAGAAAGAATTTCTCAATAAATTTACAATTAAAAAAAAATCAGAAATGCATGTAATACAGTTACTATGACAAAAGGGAGATTCTTATAGTTATACCTGATATGTGGCCTTGTTAGTCCAAACACTTCATATCCAGTTGATGAGCTGTGGCAAATTCAGCAATCAACACATACAACATATACACATGTATCCAGTAACTGGGACTCAATAGCTATGGCAAACAGATCTACATGTAGACTGAAATAGAAAGAATTTCTTGATAAATTTACAATAAAGAAAAATATAAGAAATACATGTTATACTGTTACTATGACAACAAGGAGATCCTTATAGTTATACCTGATATGTGGCCTTTTTAGTCCAAACCCCTCATATCCAGTTGATGAGCTGTGGCAAATTCAGCAATCAACACCAGTAACTGGGACTCAATAGCTATGGCAAACAGTTCTACATGTAAACTGAAATAGAAAGAATTTCTCAATAAATTTACAATTAAAAAAAATCAGAAATATGTGTAATACAGTTACTATGACAACAGGGAGATTCTTATAGTTATACCTGATATGTGGCCTTGTTAGTCCAAACCCTTCATATCCAGTTGATGAGCTGCGGCAAATTCAGCAATCAACACCAGTAACTGGGACTCAATAGCTATGGCAAACAGATCTACATGTAGACTGAAATAGAAAGAATTTCTCAATAAATTTACAATTAAAAAAAATCAGAAATGCATGTAATACAGTTACTATGACAACAGGGAGATCCTTATAGTTATACCTGATATGTGGCCTTGTTAGTTCAAACCCTTCATATCCAGTTGATGAGCTGCAGCAAATTCAGCAATCAACACATACACATGTATCTAGTAACTCAGTCTCATTAGCTATGGCAAACAGATCTACATGTAGACTGAAATAGAAAGAATTTCTCAATAAATTTACAATGAAAAATAAGAAATATGTGTAATACAGTTACTATGACAACAGGGAGATTCTTATAGTTATACCTGATATGTGGCCTTGTTAGTCCAAACACTTCATATCCAGTTGATGAGCTGTGGCAAATTCAGCAATCAACACATACAACATATACACATGTATCCAGTAACTGGGACTCAATAGCTATGGCAAGCAGATCTACATGTAGACTGAAATAGAAAGATTTCTTGATAAATTTACAATGAAAAACCAGAAGTCTATGTCGAGACTGAAGCTCTACTGGTTTGTACTTGCAATCAAAAAATGATACACAGAATTATGTATCTTAGTGTAGTCTGCTTGTGTGCCAAGTTATATTGAAATCAGATCAAAACTGTAGTATATGTATCATTTTAAAAGAATTTCACATGCAAATTTCTTTTTTTACTCAGCACGGCAAAACCATTCATTGAAATCAAAAACCGATGAAGAGAATTGTGTATCTTAATGTAGTCTACTTGTGTGCCAAGTTAAATTGAAATCAGACCAAAAGTGTTGGAGATATAGCTTTTTGAAAGAATTTCACAGAAATTTCTATTCTTAGTTACAATGGCAACACCGTTCATCAAAATCAAAAACCAATATACAGAATTACATATCTTAATGTAGTCTACTTGTGTGCTAAGTAGGAGGAGTAGCATTTTGAAAAATTATTTACAGTTAGACAGACGGACGTACGCATTACTGTCGCATAACTCTGACCAGTAGAGCTAAAAATCAGAAATACACGTATTACTGCATTTAAACAGGGAGATTCTTATGATTAAACCTGCTATGTGGGGGGAGGGGGGGGATTCAATGTAGCCGAGTTAACGACATCAATAAAGCTTGCTTCCGAGGTATTACTTGAAAAAGATGAACAAGAATTAGCTCTCGAATTTGATTGGCTAAAAATCTGTTTCTAAAATTATACAGAAAAATCATTGTAGTGTTTTTTATGAAAAATGAGACACTATGACATTTTATTTATTCAATGCAATATTTAAAATCTGGAGTTGAATTTTTAAACCCACACATTCTCTAATTTTTCTCTTTCCCCGAGATTATAACAAACCATTCTATGGTTGAGTTTCACTTTCCACTCGGCGAGCAGTTTTGAAACTGATGACCGAGATAAATTAAAATAAAATAAAGCCAAGTATGTCAGATATGGTTGTGTAGATAAATTATCGTAGAAGACATTCTTGTCATGAACAATTATGTTGTATCTGCTTATTAATGATGGAACTATTTTATCTGAACAATTTGTGCGAGTCGCGGTTGACTACAGTAATATATCTTGAACTAAGAGTATGTAATAATCGAATATATTAATAATGAATAAATAAGTTTTATTTATGACTTGTTCTAGGCATATGGTATTTATTTCTAGTCATTTTGGTTTTTTTTAAATTTCCTTTTCCTTAAATTATCTCAGTGGAAAACACTGTACAACTAAATCAAAAGATTTTGGTGGACCTAAATCTTAATCTATCTACAAACTCAATAGTGGTGACTCTGATTGTAGAATTCGTCAACACTTTACATAATTAAGCTCTTTGGTATTGAGAATTTACCATATGTGCAGGACTCCAGGAGCGACGCATGTGGGCTACATGTCTACCGTTTCAAAATTTTCTAAAATAATATTCTAGGTCTAGTATTCTAGATTATCAACTGCATCAGTATTTGTATATGTCGCAGCACCAACACTAGTTTTTATACGACGATAGCGCTGTCGATCTTATTAAATAACAAAGTTGTTGAGGGCGATCCTGAGGGCCTCGAAAGATTTTTCGCGCACTCTAGCTGATCTAGATAGTCAAGGTCAAATGAAGGGAATACCCACTGAAGGCTATACAGGTGGTCCCACAGTGTATGCTTAAGTAAACTCAATTCAATCAATAATATTCAATTAAAACAAAACTTACCATCAATTTACAAATAGCAGACTGCATCTTTTCGACACCGCATTGAAAATGTTGGCGTCGTTCAAAAAATGCGCGATGGCGTCTACTTCCGAGTAATTTTACATGTTTAGTTTGGAAGACATCCGAGGATTTCCGATTGGAGATTTCCGGGAAAACATCAAAGGGGGATAACTTTTTTAGGAAGGAAGTGATATTTTAGGTCTCGATTTCTCAAATAATTTACATTTGTCAGGTCTATCATTTTGCCTACATGTGATTGTCACTAAACCTGAAAAAAAAATATGCATCACGTTTTTATATTAGTTTGGGAAGGTTGCGTTTTGAAAACATATTTGTGCTATATAATTCATTGAAAACGGTGACTTGAACCCAAAACTTCAAATGCTCGTATTTTTTTTTATTGACATCAAAAGTGGGAAATTTTTTGTGAGATGATCTTATTCTATCTTTATTTTATTTTAATAACA